GATGGCACTTTTGTTGTTGTTGTTAGCCGTTCAGTTGCGTCCGACTCTTGGCGATTCCGTGGGCCAGCTCTCTCCAGGTTTTCCGATCTTCAGTGGCACTTACTTCCAAGTAACTACGCTGAGGAGGACGGAGGAGGACGTTAAGAGTGTTGTGGATGGTGTCTGCCTTGCTGGGCCAGCCGTTGAGTGTGGAAGTCACCGCTGTTGAATTCCGCCTCACCTACCGTGTTTGTAGCCTCTGGAATTAAGTCGGGTTTTGTGTGTTTGGGGATTCAGTGTGCGAAAAGTTCTTTGAATGTCAAGGGAAGTGACACCTTTGTGGCCCTTTGTGGCATTTCTAGGAGTGACGGTCTGTTCCCTTCCTTGTTCTCCCAAAAGATCTGAGCTGGCGATGGAATCTTGGCGGCCTAGATATTTGAAGCAAAGTATCCGAGCAGAGAGGCTTGGATCCATAGTGGTAGAAAGGACTTCGACCAGTGTCTGACTCCCTGGATTCTCTCTGTGTGTGGCGGGGTGGTGGTGGCGGCGGCGGCTGGATATTAAAAGGAAATTTATAGTGGTGCATTTCAAAGAAACCCGGATGATAGCGGGAAAGCCGGGCGAAAGGGTTAGCACCCCCCTCCGAAAACCAGCAGCGTCCACTTAAATGAGACCGGCTTGAATTCCATTCGAGGGTTAGATCTGCGGCGGCGGATGTTGGTAGGATCCAGACCCATCGTCGGTCTGTACTGGATGACCAGGCAGATGGACTGGGAAAGGCCCAATCGTGTCACAGTTCGGGTGTGCTGGCGCGAGAAACCCGATCCTTGTCCAGGAGGCAGGGCAAGCCGGGGCCGCCAAGCCTGGATTCCTGCGCGTCCCTTGTTTTCTGTTGTGCTTCGCTGTGATGGTCGCTAACTGGAATTCACTACGCCTCAATCGGACATTTTCAAAGAAAGTAGCTCTCCACTTTCACAAGCGTCCAGGACGCAAACGTCTACGGCAAAGTTCCCACGCAGCCACCCTGGTTCTGTGCGCTGCGGCCTAAAGAATTCGGGGAGGGGGCGTGTGGGATTTATGGGCAGTCAATCAAGAGTCTTGATTTAAGGCTGGAGGCCCTGGCTGGGGACACACACACATATCTCTTGGGCACCTGTATGGCTTTCTGCTCGCATTTGTTTGCGAACCCCATTCTATGTGCGGAGATGGACCAGCCAGGCCTGCCTGGTGAGAGAGGCAGCTTGAAAGGGAAGGGTCGGGAGATGTTGTCAACTGCAGTTGCGTTGTCCAACAAACTAGTTAGCTGGCTTCTTTATGGCCTTGTGTGCTCCGATCCTAAATCCTAAATACCTTTACTTCGAGATCAATCCCGTTGATTTCCGTGAAGGTTTGCTTCCACACCGTGATTTAACGTTTCTACCGTGTCTCGTTGACTCTGTGCCATATTCTGAGGGTTAGTTTCATTCGGCTGAATGGAATGATTGGACCCGCTGTTTGGGTCTGTATATTGCGTTCGAGAAGTACCCTCGCAGAATTTCTCCCCACCCCACCCCCGAAGCCGCAAGAAGCAGATCCCGCCCGACTTATTTCCAACGACTTGGGTTCATCACCGCCACCCCACTCAGTGGTCCAGCTCCTCGTGGATTTTAGTCTTTCCCTTGAACCTTGGAGGGATGCCGAGATGCAGTCTCGGAGGACGGCGATCTTGCGCCCAGCCTGGCACTGTGGAAGTTCCCGCTGACCGAGGTGGGGGGGGGGGCCCTAAAACCGGCAAGGTCCAAACTGTGCCCGTCCACTTGCAAGCAAATGCAACAGAAACCCAGGGCTCTTCCTTCCTGGTATATTTGAAGGGATGAGGGGAATCCTAGCTATAATTATTGGGAAATAAATCTTTACTGATTTCCCACTTTGTGGAGGGGAAGGATCGGGTTACTAATCTGCGCCTTCCGGGCACAATCCTGCCAAACGGATGCACTTTTTAGTTCCAGTGATTCCAAGTGGACGGCTAAGCACGTGCTTAAATTTCCTCTATGGAAATCAAAGGGGCTCATTTGGCTGGGCCGGGCCCTTCTTTTCCAGCAAATTCCTCTTCGAGAAAAACAACCTACCATTCGCTGGCAAATTGCTGTTGTTTCAAACTTCTAAAAACATTCCTCTGAACGGGATTTACTCTCCCGTGCACGCACTCAAGTTCGGAGCCTGAGAACCAGAGCTTCCTTGGCCTTCCCTGATCTCCCCCCCCCCTGCCCCCGCCCCAACATTTCTTGACTCTAATCTGGGCTTTAATCATCCTTGGGGGCTTCTACGGCTGCTATCTGGGCACATATGCTTGAGAATAAACCTCACTGGATTCAGTAGGACTTTCTTCCAGTGAATCTGGCTCCCCAGCTGCGGCTCTGTCCCTGTCTAACCGAGGGCGCCGAGTCCCCCAGCCACGCGTGTGGTTCCAGTGGCCTTTACTTCCAAGGAAGCACCGGGGGACAAGAGCCGCGCTATAGTCCTGCGAACACTCAGATCAATGGAGGGTTTGTTTGTTTGCTTTTCGGGGGGACGGTTCGCGGCTGGCGCGATAACCACCCAAGCGTGCCGGCGTTCCGGGTGGCTGAGAGGTCACTGGACGGGATCCTTTGCGGGGATCCTCTCTGGCTCGGCGGGATCTCTCCCTGCCCGGAGGCCTCTTGCTGAACGGGGAGCGGAGAGCCACACGCGGCCCCCTTGGCCTTGCCGCGGACCCAGGACGGCGGCATCCTGCGGAGAGTGACATGCCTTTACGCGCGCCTGGGCGCTGTCCCGTCGCTCCCCACCCTCCCCCCCCCCCCCCCTACCCCCCCCCCCAATCCGGAGCGCGGAGATCCCGGTCGGGTGAAGCCCGGCGTTTGACGAAAGGTCGCTGCAGCCGGCGCTTCCCGGCTTTGTGTGGGGAACTCCTGGGTGTCGCTGGTGCCGAGCGTCCAAATTGACACCATATGTTTCCCTATTAGACGCCTCGCCCTGGAAGCCGCGGCGCATAATCATTGCCACTGGGCTCGATCTGCCTGCGCTCTCCAGGGAAATTAAGGCATTGATTAAGGCTTAACCTTTTTTCGCGGGACCGGCTAGGGAACCCCCGCCCCCCGAGCTCCCGAGTGTGGGCCAAGGCCCTTCTCCTGGAATCCCAGGCTTCCTGGGCCGCGCAGGTGCAGAGAGGCAGCCGGGTCTTCAGGGCCAAAGACGAGCCAGCTCCACTGAAGCCTCCCCCCCCCACCCAGGGCCGGCTCCAGCTTATTTTGCACCCTAGGCGAGGATCCCTTATGGGGCCCCGTGCGCCCACCAATTTTCAAAAATAAATGCATTTTAGGAAGAATGAAAAACACAAATAATCAAGAAACTCCCAGAGTACGGGTCCGGGTGCAATTTGGTGCCCCTAAGGGCCATCCCGCTCTAGGCGATCGCCTAGTTCGCCTAGTGAGTGAGCCGGCCCTGCCCCCACCCCACCCCGTCCCGTCCCGGTTTCGATGCTAGAGGCTTAGACTCGTGCTGAGGTCTCCCGTCGGAAATCGGGTGGCTCGGGAAAGTGCTTCCTTTCGGCCGGATCGAGCCCCTCTGCCCTGTAGCGGAGGCCGCACAGATTCCGCCGGAATTCAGGACGGGGGGAGGGAGGGCGGAGTGGAGGCGACTGCGCCGTCTGCGTCCAGGGGAAGTGCATCGCGAGGGAGGGGGAGGGGTGGGGAAGGGTGCTGATGCCCCTCCCCCCCCTTTCTCAACCTAAAGGGAGGTGGCGAGCGGCGGTGGCCCCTTCCAGAGCGCGCCGCGCCTGAGCAGTGCCGTGAACCGGGGCTCAGCGACGGATGGTTCTTAAAAGCCATGTCTGGCCGTGCACGTTCTCGGGGGCTCCGGCGGTTCCGGGCGAAGTCCCTCCGCCCTCCCACAGCTCCCCAAACCGCGTGTCACTTCGCATTTGTGGAGGAGGCCTTGCGCCCCCTCGGTTGTGTCCACACACTGGCCCCGTGGCTACCTTAAAAAGTCGCCTCCCCTCGGAGGGGAAACGAGTAGAGTTCAATCTCGTCGGAGTGATACCCAGATCCGGACAGAAAGGGTCGTTTTTATCATGCTCCCGTTTGTCGTGACGATGCAATTTTCAAAAGCGGAGCACTGTCATAAAGTGACATGTCTGCCACAAGTGCTCCAACTGATCTTTTCAATTAGCCTTCCATGCATGATCCGGGGCGACTTCCGCCTATTCCCAGAAATTAAGCTCAAACTTGACGTGCAGCTAGTTTTATTTTAAAGACAAATGTCAGAGAGACTCATCATATTTTCCCCCTCTTCTATATTTGGAGCTTATTTATTGCTAAGAAGCTGAGGCTCCGGGAGTCAATTTAGCAGGAGGCTCCAAAGAGAGGAGGAGAGCAGACGAGAGACACACAGAGACAGAGAGAGAGAGAGAGTCCAGACCTTCTCCAGGGAGCCTTTGCCTCCAAAGCCTAGAGCTGCAGGTTGGGGATTCTTTTCCAGCTATTCTTTTTTAAAAAACAAAAACAAAAAACCAGCATTCCAGTCGGGTTGCTTTTGGCCAAGCGAGCTGCAGCTGAAAGGACGCGCAAGGACCATTGCAAAGCTCAGACGAGACCACGTCGATTTCTTTTCCTTTAAAACCAAACCAAAACAATCCTGGCTGGTTCCCTTCCCCCTCTTTTCCAGAGGAGAAATGGGACCGGGAAGGGGGGTGATTCTCGGAGGTGGCATTGGAAGGACAGAGAGTTGGAAAACAGGAGGTGCGGTTGGCTTAGTTTCAGATCAGAGGAGCTCTGGAGGTGGGGGGGGGGGCGAACAGGTGGACAGAATAGACCTTCTCTGGGGCTGAGGTATCAGGCGAGCTCCGACTTCGAGCTGCTGCGATCCAAACGCGGGGCTGGAGACGCTTCCATCCCACGTCCCCCCCCCTCCCTCCCGCGCCCAGTGCCAGAGAGGGGGCCCCCCCCCCCCAAAAAAAAAGCAGGCTCTGTCTGGCTTGCTTCCCAGCTGCCAAGTAGGCTGAAAGGATGTCTCTGAGAGAAAGTGTGTAACCAAATGTTGCTCTTCTGGGCCGAGAGGCAGAGCTGAGACCCTTGAATGGATCTTTAGAGAGGAGTCAGCGCTTGGGACGGAAGGGGGGGGGGAGGCAGCGGGGCGGCTTGTGTGTGTGAGTGTGAGAGCGAGAGCGAGGAGAGAAAAGTCTTCCCGATTGATCCGAGGGTTGCTCTGGTGTGCATACACCCGTGTGTGTGTGTGTTTCTGTGTTTGATTGTTTTGCAACTCACGCCAGGATTGAGGTGGACGTTGCTGTTGCCGCCGCGTCTCGGCTTCTCCGGGTGGGGGGTTCACGTCTCTCTCTCTCTCTCTATGCGGGTGACAAAGAAGCGGCAGGACGGTTCCCTCTCCCCCCCTCCCCGACCCGCGGCCCCTTCTCAGGTAGCCGAGACTTCCATTGTCCTCCTTTTCCTTCCCCCCGCCTCGCAGGTCACAGCGGCGTGAACCAGCTCGGCGGTGTGTTTGTCAACGGCCGGCCGCTGCCAGACTCGACCCGACAGAAAATCGTCGAACTCGCGCACAGCGGGGCTCGGCCGTGCGACATCTCCCGAATCCTGCAGGTGAAAATGCGGGTCGCCTCCCCAGTCGGAGCCGCCCTTCGCCTACCTTGCTCGACGACCAGCCTGTCCTGCGAAAAGGCTTGGCCAGGACTTCCACCTTCCGGGTTGGCGGGGGGGGGGGATATCAAACTTCTCTAAATCACCGGGATTATCACCCCCCCCTTTAAACAAATGGATGCTCGACCACCTTATGCCTTATGGCCATTTGATAATGCAGTAATTTTGTTTCTGATTAGTTGGCTAATCCATTTACGCTCCCCGTCCCTCAAGACACTTGCTTGGAAGTCACTCCCGTTGACTGTTCCGCAGCTGAGTTCCAAGCAGGTGTCCGGGGTAACAGTTTCCTCTCCCCCCCCCCCTGTATAACTTCTGCATGCTTGTGTATGATGTATATATTGTTAAGCAACAGTCTAATCGACAACGCTGGCGTCCTTTGAAATAGTTTCCTGGGTGCTTGTGTAGCATTTAAGACGTGTAAGAAAACGATTTGGCAACGGGATTTGGCTTAGGGATCCAGGACGGCAGGTTCCCCTTCTAGACCGCCCATGCCCTCCTCACCTGCATCCGCACCCTGAATATTTTGAAAACTGCTCTGGTTAGGTCTATAGAAACCACCCTGCTCCCGAAATCTGACATTTTTCTCCAGTTTTTCTCCTCCCCTCCTTTCAAGTGGGTTTAAAAATTCTCACCTTTGTAGCTTGTAGGGCCACAAATGTAATATTTTTTTTTAAGAAAGAAAAAGAAAGAAAAAAAAAACCTTCTCTAAGTAAGTTCTCATACCATTTAAGGTATATTTTTGTGTTATAGACCCATGCAGATGCAAAAGTCCAAGTGCTGGACAATCAAAACGTAAGCTTGTCATTGTTTAATGCATACTTAAACAATTTTATTTTTGTCTTGAAATTATTAATAATGTGATTTTCTGTCCGCTTCCCTGATGCAGGTATCGAATGGCTGTGTGAGTAAAATTCTGGGCAGGTATTACGAAACTGGCTCCATCCGACCGCGGGCTATCGGAGGTAGCAAACCGAGAGTAGCGACTCCAGAAGTTGTAAGCAAAATAGCACAGTATAAACGGGAGTGCCCCTCCATCTTTGCTTGGGAGATCCGAGACAGATTACTATCGGAGGGGGTCTGTACCAACGATAACATACCCAGCGTAAGTTCATCACGAAACCCCTTTTCTCTCTGACCTGTACAATACCCGGAGACCTGCAGCTAACCTCCCTTCTCTTTGTTCTTCTAGCTCAATGAAAACCTAAGGAGCTCCTCGGGTTTTTTTTTTGCTAGGGCCAAAATTTGGCGCAGAGAATCAGGAGGGAGGGGGGGATCTTTAAAAACCATTTCTCACGACTCATCCTTAGGGGCTTGTGAGCTCCCAGGGATGTATAGATCAAATCAAAAATAAATAAAAAGACCGGTGGCAAAATATTTCTGGGTGAATCACCAGCGTCACCCCCGACATCTTTTAATGCATTTCGTTCAGATTTTAGATCGCAACCCCTGGCATTGGTTTCTAGGTTGAAAATACATTTCTGACCCGATGTACATCTTCCATAGCTGCATTTCTCCAGAAGAAGGAATCCCGATGAACACAACCCACTTGGGCTTTTGCATTGTAAATGTCTTTTTCGGGGGTGGGGGTGGGGGATGACACCCTGCGTCAAAAGAGATGGATTCGGAAGCACGATGTCAGCGGAACTGGCTTGCTTCCCACGCCGCAACTTCCCGTCTCAGTATCTGTAGCACATGCCCTGGTCTCAAGCTAAAATGGCTGCAATCCAACCACCCATTTATTCTGGGGTCGTCCTATTGCAGCTACTCAAGGCTGTGCCGGAGCACAGCGGTGGTTTTGGTTTATAACTTTCGACTGCTTGGCAGTGACAAGGGTGGGACTCACTCGCAGCTATAATTTGGGATGGCGTTTTCAGCGCTCTCTCTTCGAGGAAGGCAGAGAGTGTGATCTGGCCGGGTGGGTGGAGGGTCTGTGTAGCAGCAGCCGTGTTCCAAAGGGTTCTCGCGCCGACCATTTCATTGAATGGCCCTTCCCTTTCAGGTATCGTCGATCAACAGAGTCCTCCGCAACCTGGCTAGCGAAAAGCAACAGATGGGTGCAGATGGAATGTATGACAAGCTAAGAATGCTGAACGGTCAGACTGGGACTTGGGGCACGAGACCTGGGTGGTACCCGGGGACATCCGTCCCAGGACAGCCAGCGCAAGGTAAGGAAGGCTTCCTCCCCCCCTCCCCCTCCCCCT